CCCTCTCCCTCTCCCTCTCTCTCCTCTAACAATAGCTAAAAAATGAAAAGCATCAAGGCTCTGGCCTTGTTATCTTGCCTGTTTGCTTTCTGAGACAGGGCCAGAAGACTTGGGATTTGCTATATAGTAAAGGTTGATCTTCATCTCCTGATTGTCCTGCCTGTATCCTTTGATATCTCGAATGACAGGTATGTGACACCAAGCCTTGTTTAGGGGAATTTATAATAAAAGGGCCCTTGAGAGCAGAAAAAATGGTTAAGAGTTGTAGAAAAGCAACCTTTCATACCACAGGGTAATATCAGAGGAAGTCTCCATTCTTTTGTTTCCCAGATGAGGAGGGGTTATGTACAGGACAAGGAGGGTCCCAGAAAGTCAACAGAGAATCAAAAGAGCTTGAGGAGAAATTGACCAAATGCAGCATTTATAGCTAGGGAAATGCTCTGGCAGGCAGGGTAACATGTTTTCTTTTGCTTCTTTGATTTTGTTTGTTTTATTTGCTTGATTGTCTGTTTAAATCCCAGGAAATGAGAGGAAAACTAACAGCTCAGCCACGGGATGCCTCCCCAGTGGCATCTATTAGGAGAATCATTTGGGGGCTGAAGGTGATACCAGTTGCTCCTGGGGGTTATATATAGCAAAGGAGATGGGAGTTTGACACCTTCACAGTGGTTACTTTCTCTTCCTGGAGTTAAACTAAACTTGGTTAGCTTCCTTAGCTTCCTGCAAGTGATGGCAGGGGACAGGGTAGGGATTTGAGGTGGATCTCGAGGTGAGGTGCAGGTGGAGGTGGGGGTGTGTCTGTGATGGTGGGATGTTAGCACTCAGTGTGGACATAGCAAACAAGGCATCAATATCCAGGTCTCTGATGCTTATTCAAAGACACCAAGACAAGAGAGGCCTTGGGGAAGATTGGCTGGAATCTGGAGCCCACAGCTAGCTGGCTGTTGAGACAAAGAACTGAAAAATGGGATGGTAGGTAAAGAAGAGTGGAGGGCCCCAAACCCAGACCTTTACTAAAATCTCACCTCAGTCGAGGTTGTTTAGAGCTGAGGCTGAGACAGCTAGTTAGTGACTGTGCTTCTCTGCTTGTTATTTAAAAGATACAAAGGGCTTTGAGGAATAATTCAGAGTGTTTAACTTTGTCCCATGCACTTCCGGGGTCTGATGCCATGGACCCCACAGGTAGTGGGCTGGGAGCTTCCCTAGCAGAGAGCGTGGGAAGGGAAAAGTGTGTCTGGGAAGCAAAGGAGGCTCCCCTAACTTTATCTAAAAGTCACAGAACTTTCAAATGGGTTCTGTATCCATACAAGCTTCATGTCACAATTCAGACTCTCTTGAGTGGAGGAGAAAATTTGCTGGCTTACTTCTTGAACAATTATAATTTGGAATAAGCTGCAAAGAAGCTTACACCACTCCTGAAGCCCATCTTCTGATCTGGGGATGGTGAACAGTTCTAGAAAGGGAGCTCACAATGTGTTGGAGCCCCTGGATTAAGTCAGCTCATTCTCCAGGATTTTCCCAAGGTGGCAAGCACATCTGCAGGACTCACCCGTGCGCAGTGCCCAGCTCCGGGCTTCGTTCATGCCTGGTGGCTGCTCCCCATCCAGAACGCTGGCGCTGCAGAAATTTTGTGTGTCTTGTCTGATCTCTGCCACTCCCTGCTGTCTGGGATCCAGGCTGCTTGCAGCTGTAATCCTAGCGGAGACAGCTCCAATTTATTCAGCAAAGGGGCGTTGCTGGTTTTTGGGAGGCTGGGCTTGCCTTCCCTCTTCGCACTGCCTTAAAGAGTCTCCTGACCCCTCCTTTGACAGATTCTGACTAAGGCAAGGATGACTCCAATGTACTCCAGTGTTACCTGCCTGAAGCAGGCTCACTTGGGCCTGGAACTCTGCATCTCCTAGAGAGGGTCTTGAAGAAGAATCTGTGTGGGATCAAACATTACTTACTTTGGAGAGAAATACTCTTTTTTTCCTTTTGTTTGCTAGTCTCTTTCTTCCTTCAGTAGCTAGCTCCCTCCTTTTTTTCTAAGTTAAAAGCATTTTAAAGGAAGAATTAGGGACTTCTTTGTATTTATAATACTAAATAAAAATTTGACAATGCAGCTGTGGATCATAGATGGCAATGATTAATTGCAGGGTTGCCCAAAATAAAAGGATAAATTTTCATCTATTTTTTAATGCTCATTGAATTTTATTCATTAAAACTATTCTTATTAAAAGTATTGAAAAGTCTCTAAAATCATATAAGTACCCCCAGTCTCTTGACTTGTATTCAACTTTTTAGTTAGGAAAACAAAAGGGAATTTTTAAAAGTCTACAGACAAAAAAGGAACTCAAACCTTTTGTATATGTAGTTGACATAGCTTTGTGTTTAGAAAACCCTAAGGTATCAACCAAACTATTAGAGTTAATAAGTTTATTTGATAGATATTTACTGGGCTTCTTTGTATTTGGTGCTGTGCTAAGTCTTATGAAGAGATAGCTCTTCCAGGAAGGGTGGGCTGGAGGAGTAGCCTGAAAATGCCAGAATAATATCCTCACAGGCTTGTTGGAAGAGAGGAGAAATACTCTCTAACTTTTGTATTGTACCCTTTTATCTTATTTGAAATAGTCTAAAACTCAACAATTTATCAGTGCTGATATAACTTAAGTGGAAAATTTACATCAAGAAACTTTGCATCATGTACAAAATTATTTATAAAATATTGTCTAGAATTACGTTCTTTCTATATGTGTAAAATACCCACTAATCGACTGAATTTCCTATTCGAGATTGAGTCTCATCCGTATAATATTTCATTAGTATAAGCAATATTCCAAAGTCTGGGTTAAAAGTTCCAAAATGTGAAAAACTTTTTGAAAGAAAGAAATTTTATTCAATGTATTTTGCTCAAACTTTTACAAGAATATAGAGGAAAAAGAAGTTTGACAAAAAGCAGTCAAAACATGGCACTACTGAATGTACCTCATTGAGTACATTTGTTGCTATTAATATAACGATATTACAATGGTGTGGTCAGAAGCAAATATCTTAAAGGGTAAGTAAATAACCATTTTACTCCTACAATATCTACATTTTGCAAAGGTAACCTTTTTTAAAAACAACATTTTAAGCTTTCCATGTCATTAAGCAGGGTTTCTGCCATTTTTCTCACTTTCACATATTGAGGATGGAATTTAATTCACCAGAATATAGGGCATTTTCACCACTGTTCAGCAGTGAATGTGACAATGTCTATAAAGTCCTGGGAGAATATAACAAATTAAAATATATCTTCTAAATTATATTTGGCTTATCTATGATTTAACTATTTAAAATATTTAAATATTCATGAGGTAGGACATTAAATGAATAGGAATGAAAGCATTTTTGTATTTAGAGATACTTAAGCTGTAGTAAATGCTGGGTTAGTCACTTTAGTATTGAATTAATTTCACTTTCTCAAAATAGATTATTGCACTTAACCCTGAAAAACTCTTATTGATGATAGAAAATAATGAAAAAAAACCAACAACAAATTTTAGTAGTCAACAGAACTGTTTTACATGTTTGAGCTCTAAATGCAAGACTATTGACAATCATTGAATAAGCATGCGCTCTGAACACAGGAACTTGCATTCATAGAGGAAAGGGAGTCCAAGCACTGAAAAGAGGCTATAATGGGAAAGGAAGGATTCAGGGTGGTGAGACATGAATATTTTCACTCAGGTAATAAAACCAACAGACTTCCAGCTTCAAAACTTTACAAATGTGGGTGACATTTGCAAAACAATGTTTGAATTTTATCTCCCTTGGAAAGATAAGGAGAACCAGGAAAGATAAAGAGGTCTCAGTTTTAGTGACACATCCCAAATACTTTCTACTGTATTTCTCACATCGGTTCAATTTTGGAGAGTGACCCTTCTTTTACTGTCAGAGATTATTCCCATAGCCATGCTTTATCCATGATATAAAGATATAAAATTAGGATGATTTTTTGACATCTGTACACCTTGATGATGCCACTGTTTGACTCACCAATTTTTTTGTAGATTGAGTTTTACAATTTTTCTTGTAAGCTGGTTCCTTGTTGATCAGTAAAGGGCATGTCTCTTTAGATGTTTGCAGCCAATCTAAGCTCTATAAGTTTAGAGGGAACTCCTGGCAAACAAGGTCTGTTTAGAGTCTTTACATTGACTCCACAGTCTAAATCCTTTTATTTTGAGTTCTTAAATTATATACTTTTAAAAAAAGTAAATACTGAATAACTATGGCTTCTGAAGAAGAACCTGTTTTCATCAATGCTGACTTGATGCACTTTAAATATATCTATAATCTCTAGTGAAATAGAAGCAATTATTAAAAGTCTCCAAACAAAAACAACCAAAAAAACTAAAAAGAAAAATTAAAAAAACCCACAAACAAACAACAATATTCCCCCCCCAAATCCCAAACAGAAACCCAACCCAACCCAACCCAAACCAACCCAAACCAAACCAAACCAAACCAAACCAAACCAAAAAAAAAAAAAATACCCCAGGACCAGATACTTTTACTATAGAATTCTATCAGGTACTCAAAGGAAAGTTAATGTCAATACTCCTCAAAATATTCCATAAATTACAAACATGAGGAACATTGCCCATTTCATTTTATGAGGTCACAGTTACTCTGAAACCAAAGCCATATAATGACCTAACAAAGCAAGGGACCTACAGATGAATTTGCCTTATGAACATAGATGCAAAATACTAAATAAAACATTTGTAAACTGAATACAAGAACACATCAAAAAGCTCATTCACCATGATCAAATAGACTCCATCCCAGAGATGTAGGTATTTTCAATGTATGAAAATCAATAAATGGAGGACTTCTGGTCTGGGCTCGAGCATAGAGCAGGTCCCAGGCGGCAGCTCTGTACCCAACCTTAGAAAACCAAGAGAAAGAGGGCCTCCCAGGAGCTTTAACTCAGGCAGTATCCTAGGTAAGGAAAAAGCAGCACTTGCCCCAAACAGGGAGCAACTGGGACCCACTGGGACCCAGGAATTCACTCCTGGCCCGGAGCGCGGGTTCCATCCAGTCTGGGCCTGAGCACTCGGCAGATCCTGGGAGTCAGCTCTACACCCAATCTTACAGAACCCAGAGGAAGCTGGGCTCTCAGGAGCTCTAACCCAAGCAGTATCTTAGGCTAGGAGGTGGCATTACTTGCCCCAAACAGGGAGCAACCGGGACCCACTGGAACCCAGGAATTCACTCCTGGCCCGGAGCCCAGGCCCCTTCCAGTCTGGGCCCAAGCACTGAGAAGATCTTGGGCCTCAGCTCTAACCCCAGCAGCAAAACCCATCCCAAACAGTTCTGATACAACCTAGATAATAGGAAAGACAGGCTCCAGACAGAGACAGTACAGAGAGCACAAAGGAGATCCAGATGGCGAAAGGCAAGCACAAGAACACAAGCACCAGCAACCCACGGTACTTGCCATCATCAGAACCTAGTTCTCCCACATTAGAAAGTCCTGAACTCCCCATATCACCAGGAAAGCAAGAACAAGATCTAAAATCACTTCTAATGATGATGATAGAGGACTTTAAGAAGGACATAAATAACACTATCAAAAAAATTGAGGAGAACACAAATAAACAGGATGAAGTCCTTAAAGAAACACAAAAATCCTTTAAGGACTTACAAGAAAACACAAACAAAAAGATGAAGGAAATGAACAAAACCATCCAGGACATAAAAATGGAAGTAGAAACAATAAAGAAATCACAAAGGGAGGTTACCCTGGAGATAGAAAACCTAAGAAAGAAATCAGGAGTCATAGACACAAGCATCACCAACAGAATACAAGAGATAGAAGAAAGAATCTCAGGTGCAGAAGATACCATAGAGAATATTGACACAACTGTCAAAGAAAACGCAAAATGCAAAAAGTTCTTAACACATAATATCCAGGAAATCCAGGACGCAATGAGAAGACCAAACCTAAGGATAATAGGTATAGATGAGAGTGAAGATTCCCAACTTAAAGGGCCAGTAAATATCTTCAACAAAATTATTGAGGAAAACTTCCCTAACCTAAGGAATGAGATGCCCATAATCACACAAGAAGCCTACAGAACACCAAACAGACTAGATCAAAAAAGAAATACCTCCCGTCACATAATAATCAAGACACAAAATGCACAAAACAAAGAAAGAATTTTAAAAGCAGCAAGGGAAAAAGGCCAAGTAACATATAAAGGCAAACGAATCAGAATTACACCTGACTTCTCACCAGATACTATAAAAGCCAGAAGATCCTGGACAAATATCATACAGACCCTAAGAGAACATAAATGCCAGCCCAGGCTACTATACCCAGCAAAACTCTCAATTACCATAGACAGAGAAACCAAGATATTCCATGACAAAACCGAATTTACACAGTATCTTCCCACAAATCCAGCATTACAAAGGATAATAGCAGGAAAGCCCCAATACAAGGAGGGCAATCATACCCTAGAAAGAGCAAGAAAATAATCCTCTTCCATCAAACCCAAAAGAAGATAACCACACAAACGATGTCTCCACAATTAACAAAAATGATAGGAAGCAACAACACCCTCTCCTTAATATCTCTTAACATCAATGGACTCAATTCCCCAATAAAAAGGCATAGGCTAATTGACTGG